GCCACACACACTACTGAGCCTCATTTTGACTTGTTTTAAGGACATTACATCAAAGTTGGATCAGCCTGTAGTGTGTTTTTCCACATTAATTTTGAATGTGACTCCAAATCCAGAACCTCCATGGGTTGAAAAATTTGATTTCAATTTTTTTATTTTTTTTAACTTTTGTTGTCAGCAATTTCAACTATGTAAAGAGCAACATATTTCAGAAGAATATTTAATTCATTCAGTTCTAGGATGTGTTATTTTTGTGTCCCCTTTATTTTTTTTTGAGCAGTGTATAAAACTTGGGGAAATGTGTTTCCATGTACATATAAAAAGAGAGAAAAACACAATAGTGCAATAAAGTAATCACTGATATATAGTATGTGAATGTAGAGTTAATATATGCTCAAAATGTATTTAGCCTTTTGCAGGGTATGGCTCTGAATGTATTGAAGGGCACAGATACGCTTACCTTTAGAGCCACACCATATAAAAGGCTCAATACATCGTTAGCATTTATTATTGTTGGTATTTATATAGTGTCAGCTAATTCCGCAGCGCCTTAGTATATATATATATATATATATATACATAACCATTGAGTGGTTTCTTGTCCCAGGTGGGGTGAGTTTATTGATCAATAGGTTGTGGGTATATAGGTGTGTTTGTGTATTGTGTTAACCATGTCCTGATGAAAGTTTGCAGCAGCAGACTGAAACGTTGATCTTTTAATTTGGAGCAATAAAAGCAATTTTTTACTTACAAGAAAGACCGAGGAGTGCTATCTACTTTACCTTTCTATGTTTTTGCTGATTAGCACCAGGCCAGCAGTGGAATACGCAGTGAGTGCAACAAAATTTGTATTTTTATATATATATAAAATTACCAGATATTAGTATTAACATCCATAAAGTCATGATTTTTTTAATGACACTGAGGGGAGTATTATGCATTCTATTTCATTATTTACTCCCAGCAGCAAGGAAGAAAGTATGAGAGAATCATAGAAAACATAACAATAGCATAATAAACACTGACACCTATCAGGATCCAGCACTGTCCACATAGGTGTGGTGCTCCTTGACTCCTCCGCTTTCTGTGTAGATCCCGAAGACCATTATTGCAGGATCCAAATTGTTCCAACAAAAAACTTGAACTCACGAAACAAACACGTACCTGGAAATTTAACTAGGAAAAACAACTTCAACCTCCAACTCTTGAATGTGTATTCAAGCTAGAAGATAAGAAAATATATGGTAATATTGAAAGCCTGCAATTCTTAGACCACTACCATCAAACTCATCAACCATGTTAATCAATCGTTATTAAGTATCATATAAGGTATATTTATCGGATGCACTACCTACCTGCGTGCCATGCATGATATTTGTACCTACCAAGTCGCACCATCCAAAAGGTCTAATGAATGACCTGTAAAGTAACCACCAACACGGGTAGGGTGGGTGGGGATAATACTCTGTGTCATTAATAAAATCTTGACTTTATATCATGTTAATAGTAAAATCTGGCAATTTTATTGAAGACACAGAGGCTCCTATTATGCTATTTTAAAGCTGAGCAACCACCATACTGAAAATATGTTGCACCGGGCGAAAATAGAAATTACAAAACGTAGATTCATTCAACCAATCAGCCGCTTGTAGGATGTCTTCCAATCTACAACCCATCATTGTAGTACTAGAAGCCATAGCCCTACGAATGGAGTGGGAAGAAAAAATCAAAGTGTCTATGCCTGCAATGGACAATAACCACTTGATCCAACGAGCTAAAGTAGGAGTTGATACTGGTACATGTGGCACTCGAAAGGAGATGAATAACTGATGGGGTTGATTTGAACGAAGCGAGATCGGACGTTGTTTGTATTCCATAAGACATAATACTGGTGTAAAGGTTTAGGTTGTCTGGAAACGACGGGTAAAAAAATCGCCTTAGTCGAGGATTTTGTCCTACGTGAAACATTCGGAACAAAAATGGGAGCTTGCCAGTCCAACTCTCTGACATCAGCAACATGTTTACATGAAAGTAAACAAAACAGCATCAACAGCTTCACCAATATTTGTTTAAGAGAAAGTTCGTGATTCAAGGGCCACCAGCCAAAAGACAGGAAAGATATTTCCTGTCTGATCCTTGTCTTCCCTCCCACAGCCACAAGAGCGCAGAGTGGCTGTATATCTGCAGAGCAGGCCAGCCACTCCCCCTTCCCTCCTGCTCGCAGTTCCAGAGAAGCGTTTGGCCTGCTTGAGCAGAGAAGAGCAGGGCTCAAACTGGAGGATGGGCAGTTCATCTTAAGGTAGGAGAAGAGGGGCTTGGGGGACTTTCCTGCGTAGTGTGATAAATTGGGGAGGGGAGACAGTGTATTAATTTCAAGGAGGGAGGGAGCACTGTGTTAATTTGGGGGAGGAAAGGGGCCAGTGTATTAAATTGGTGAGTGGGAGCAGTGTATTAATTTGGGGGAGGCAGTGGGGCAGTGTATTAGAGTGGTAGGAGGGGGGTTCAGTGTATTACATTGGTGATGGGGGGAGCAATGTATTAGAGTGGTGGGAGAGGGGTGGAGGAAGGGGGCAGTGTATTAAATTGGTGGAGGCAGGAGGCAGTGTATTAAATTGGGGAGGGAGGGCAGTGTGTTAAATTAGAGTGGTGGGAGTGGGTGCAGTGTATTAGATTGAGTCTGCATGGAGGCGCTGAACGCTCCTCAGGGAGATGCTGATTAGTTGCGCAGCTTTTTGCCCCACATGCACAATAGCCTCCCAATGCTCTCCTTTGGGAAAGCATTGGATTGGCTGAGATTATCAAGTTTGATGATCTCAGCCAAAGTGAAGAACACACTCATAGGACTTAACAAGATAAAGTCATTTGCTTTTTAAAGCTGTACAACAGCATACATTCACTATTTCAGTCCCATTACCAAACACTTTTTTAATATGTCAAGGTAGTTGGACTGAAACATTAGTTATATGCTAATGCACGTCTCCTTAAAATAAATTCGATCTTTTGTTTACTTTGAAGCCCTACAAGTGTGAGGACGTCCACTGTCAGTTCGGCAACATTTTTTTATACGGAGAAAAAGAACAGTAGATGAGCCCTAACAGGCCACAACAGACAAAAAACAGGCAGTTCACCTAGGTCTGTGGGACTCCCTCACAAACCCCAAAACCACAGAGGAAATAGAAAGTAAAAAGGAGAATGAGAGAAGGTAGCGTCAGTGTTCTATTGTACTCCTAACTGTTTAGAAATTAAATAAAAACAGAAACTTTATGAAAAATTATATAAGAATTATATAAAATGTAGGCATGATAGTCCACAATAATGTCCAAAAATATAACATGCAACTTGAAAGGGAACAGGTCAGATCACAGGAAAGGTATTCTTCTTGTATGTACAATCTTGTATCAGAGGTAACTTCCAGTTCCTGTAGCATATATATAGAAAGAAGAAAAAAGAACAAATCCAATATAGATATACTCACATTTACCAGAGCTAACAATCAGCTTTAGTATGGAAAGTATAGTATAATCCCCACTTCTAGGATATGTGAGTGGACGTGGTTGTAAGATATCTCAGCAGTATGGCAGCAGTATGACCCAAAAGGAAAAATAAAACAAAACAAATATAGTGCTCTCTGTATGTACTGAACTAGAAGAATAAAAAGATCTTACTCACATTTTATTGAGCAGGCTAAACGTTCAATGGACAAGGCACAGGTGGTATGATCCCCACCCTGGATTCTTTGGTAAGGTCCTCACTAGGATGGAAAGCAGGATGCCAGGCTAAAAATAAAAATAAATAGTAATAATAATAAATTTTATGACTTTCTGTCACTTGAACTATTGTATGAGTATTTTTATTATAC